CTTACAAACGACCAAGTATAATAATAATGTGTTCCAGGTTCTGGCATGGTGAGGACTGAGGGTGTTGATAGTGCATGCTTCAGCTCTTGAAAGGCTAAATTACATTCATCATTCCAATCGAAGGCCCGGTTATCCCTTAAGACTTTGAAAATGGGAGGCACGTATCTGCTGCTTGGGATACAAATCTATTCAAGACTGCAACCCGACCTGTTAATTTCTGTATGCCCTTGCAACTTGGAGGTTCCATTGATATCAAGGCTTGGATCTTGTCAGGATTGGCCTATATTCCCCTGTGTGATCATGAATCCTAAGAACTTGCCAGAAGCCACATCAAATGCACATTTCGTAGTGTTCAGCTTCATCTTGTACTTCCGATGGGTAGCAAAGACCTCTTCAAGGTCGGAGATATAGCAATCCACTTGCTTACTTTTAACGACCATTTCATCTATGTACGCCTCAATGTTCTTTCCTATAAGATCTGCAAAGACCCTATTAACAAGTCTTTGCTATGTAGCTCATGCATTCTTTAAACTGAATGGCATGACCCTACAACAATAAATGAGGTCTTCTCCCGATCTTCTTCTGACATAAAAATCTGATGATACCCAAAGAAGGCATCCAAGAAATTGTATAATTTATGACCTTAGGTGCTGTCCACAAGATTATCAATTCGAGCCTTCTCTGATAGCTGTCCTTAGGGCATGCTTTGTTCAGATCTATGAAGTCGATGGAAACTCGCCACTTCCCATTAGCTTTCTTAACAAGATCAATGTTGGCAAGCCAATCAAGATACTAGACTTCTCGAATAAATTTTGTGTTAATGAACTTCGCAATTTCCTCCCGTGTGGCTTCCTGCCGCTCTGGTGCAAATTGTCTCCTCATTTGCTTCACTAGCTTTGCATCTGGGTTTATGTTGAGCCTGTGCACTACTACTTTAGGGTCAATTCCAGACATGTTCTCGACACTCTAAGCGAATACATCGATGTTATGGAAAAGACAACTAATTAGTTCGGCCTTAGTCATAGCATCAAGATCTCGACCAATGGTAACTATTCTACCTGGCTCGAGCTCGACCTCATCCATCTCTTCTACCAGGACAAGACTCCCACAATGTTCGAGGTCTAGCTCGACCTCGAAAAGTTGCATGACGTCAGCCTTGATCTCCCGAACACAGGTAACATAGCACTATCTCGCTGTGGTTTGACTCCCTCGGACTACCCAGCCCCATTATTAGTAGAAAATTTCACTGCCAGGTGAAAAGTTGGGACAATCGCCTTGATCCTGTTCAGTAGGGGCCTTCCAAGTATGGCGTTGTAGGCCATAGGACTACGAACTACTTGAAAGGTTGTGATCTGCATGACCTGCCTCCCTTTTGATCCCAAGGTAAGAGGTAATCCAACAATGCCTTCTGGAATGACGACACCACCTCTGAAACCCTGAAGGGGGTTTTGACTGGCTTGAGCCGTTCAGCTGAAATACCTATCTGGACGAAAGCCTCATGTGATAGTACGTTAGCTGCGTTTCTATTATCCACCAGAATTCTCCTTATCTCAATATTAGCAATGATCACCGATATAACCAAGATGTCATCATGAGGAAAAGACATGCTATCTAAGTCCTTTGATCCGAAGATGATGTCTTCTATACTACCAAGTTCCATGCTCGAGATTGAGGGGTATTGCCTGGGGTACTGCTTACGCCTGCTGTTGGAGTCCCCTCCCGATGCCTTCCCTCTGACAATGATATTGATAGTACTTACAGTTGGTTGCTTATTCTGGCTGTTCCGCTGATGCTTGTCATTGCTAACGTAAGTGTCCAAAAAACCACTCTTGATGAGAGCCTCGATTTTCCTCTTCAGGGCGAAGTATCCTTTGGTCATATGTTCATGATCTTAATGAAAGTCGCAGTACTTACTTTTGTCAAGGGCCTCTGGAGCAGCCTATAGTCGAGGAGGCCACTTCAACTCTTTAAGATCTTTGATCTCCATCAAAATGTTAGATCTTGTGGTGTTCAAACAAATTAAGGATGTTGGAGGGGGTCTTGTCCTGGCTTACTTCGAAATGGATTCGGATACTGGTTAGACTCGTGTGGCCTCTTTAGGTCAGGTTTCTTTAATGGCAGGGCATCTTTTCTTGGAAACATGTCTCTTCCATGTTGATGTATTTCTCAGCCCGGATTAGTAGGTCAGTTATTGACTTGGGATGGGTATTTGACAGAGACATCTTAAACGCCTCACATCTTTTACTACTTGCGAAGAACGTGGAGAACTTGGCAGCCAGGTCCGAAAAGGAAGATATAGTATTAGGCTCCAATGTGGAGAACCAATCTTTGGCGGCGGTGGTTAGTGTCTGAGGAAAGGCCTTGCACATTACAGCGTCGGGTGCGACATGCAAGTTCATAATATCCGTGTATATGTTGAGATGGTTGATGGGGTCAGTCGTTCCATCATACTCCTTCACCCACGGGTACTTAAATCGATCCGATAGGTGGTATGATAACTCTTCAGGGGTAAAAGGTGTGTTACGGGTGAATCATGTAGCTGCCTAAGACTTCTGGAGCATTCCGACCGTGATTCCTTCTTAGATGATCCGTGCAAGATCAGGCGAGTCCATAGTAATTGATCTCGAACCTAAGGGGATATGCTGTGCGTCCGGCTTCGACATCACTGTGGCTGGGGCTGGGGGCCCAATCATCAGCCATAAGACCACTCTGTGAGAAAGTAACTGGAGTTGTGCTTCTCTGATATAATAGCTGAGTAATCGTGGCCACTTGCTGGCGGAGTTCCTCAAACGCTCCGGGAGCAACTGTAGCCGACGAGTGAGTTAAGGTTAAGACCGGATCTCAGTACTTGACCCGACCTCAAGGCAAGACCCGAACTGATCATGAGCCCAATAATTATGGGTTTAGGTCGAGCCCAATAGATTGAGTTCGGGCATGACAATTCCTATACACATCAACTACTAAAGTCATCGAATGAGAAAGCTCTTTCCAAAAGTAGTAGACAATGCAGTGCATGTGGTGCTATAGTCACGACAAAAGAACATATCTGAAGTTGCATAATAGGTAGCTTAGAACACATTTTTTATTGTTATCTTTTAATTTCATTACTAGTATTTTATGCAACTCACATTACACTTTTTATTTTGGCAGGCCGAATGTGTTGGATAACTCATATCACCCTAGTACGAATACGAGAAAACCCACGATGCTGGAAAGATGGAACGTATACGAGTATTACCAGTAACAATTATATAGTTGTGAATGTGTTTGTTAACAATGACATTATTAGACCACTTCATATCGGCGTTGATTTATTTTCGTAATTTCTTTTGTATTTTCATGTTTGAAGTTGTGATGGATGATTTAGGAGTTGTGTTTTCATGTTATGTATTAACTATCATATTTTTTTAGTAATTTGTGATGTAGTTGAGAACACTCAATCACATGAAAATAAAACCCCATATTGAAATCAAACACTTAACAAACATACAATCATAATCGAAATTCGAAGTAGCTTATATAGTCAAACCACATAAAAACGAAATGACAAAACACCTACAAAGTTATACAGAGACCCGACTTCATTGTCTACCCTTATCATACACGCTTCAGTGTAACAAGTGCTACGAACAAACATGTCCACATTATTGTAAACCAAAAAAGTGACAAGTGAATAAATTTTCTCATCCACCGTATTGATCTTCTCCCACAACCTGATGACATTATGATTCAATTCATTCAATTGTCTAAGGTGTATTTCGCATACTTCGAATTGATGTCTCAATGTTGGTTGAACCTCGTCATCCAATTGAACCCCTTGCACATGACACCATCCTAAAAATGTAAATCAAATCAATCCATATGCACAATGTAACAATTGAACAACTATGACGTCTCCAAAATCTATGATTAGGATTCCTTTCAGTATGTAGTATATGTAACTTCATACATGCACTACATCTACAACACTGTCATGGTTGCAAATCATTGGTTGCATGAGTAACAAAGATTACATATCTCCTAATCTCATGTCGTCATGGTTGCCACGCTATGATACGAGTTGAACTTTGCCATAGCCTGAATCACAAACTTACAACAATTCCAATCAATAATCATCATTACAACCCCTTCACTTGTCACTAATAGATCACAAAAATGAATAACAGAAAACCATCGACGAAAACTCCATCACAAGACCATCGATAAAAAGCTCCATCACAAAATTGTTGACAAATAATAGTGCCCCAATTCACAAATCACCATAAAAAGGTAGAAAATAATGATATTGGCCAATATTTGGCCAAGAAAAATAATGTGAAATCCCAAAGCCATCGTCGAAAAACACCATCCCAAAGTCATCAACCAAAAAACTTATCATCCCAGAAACATTTACAAAGATCGTCATCTCAGAAATAAGGGCATTTTCCCATCTCGTTCAACATATGGAAAGCGAAAAAGAGTACATATCATGGGAGATAGAGAGAAAGTTTGACAACAGTGACATGAAGGGAAGTTTTCTGACGTCGATGAGGGGAGGGACGATGATGGTGACTATTGTTGATTTGGACATTAAGACACAGTGCGTTTGAAAGAAAGAAAGGAAAAAGTAATTTGACGATAAACGGAAAGAAAAAGAAAAGAGACAAGGATTTAAAAAAAAAGAAAAATGCTGAGTGTACAGTTTGGTGTACACTCAGCATGATAGCCCTCTTACAAAAAGGGTGAGGCCCACGATTTTTACTTTCATGCAAGGTGTCCACCCTTGGTGCACACCTGGCACAACTCTTAAGCAAAAGCTAAGAAAGAGAGAGAAAAAAATTGGCCCACTACTAACGTGGCATTGCCACCTGAGGAGTGGACATCGTATCTCCTGCCGACCGTGGGCGGCAGGAGATCAACCCGACTATATAAAATTGGGCCGTCAACTATAAGCGTCGATTCTATCCTTTATACCTTGAGCGCAACGGTTGCCCCTTACTGCTTTCTCTCAAATTCTGTAAATGGGCACTCACAGAGTGAATCTGGCGGTGATCATCAAGAACCCATCAAACGATGAAGAATTTCTTCTCATCAAGCAAACCCCACCACCCAAACTCAACGATCCTGAATATGATTCTTACCAAGATTCTGACCTCTGGGATTTGCCTTTGACACTTTTGACTCCACTGGATTCTCCATTAAGTCAACATATTTCGGTTGGAGCTGAGGATTCATCTCTATTAGAAAACTTTGGTTTATTGAATCAGTTTGATCTTAAATTAGCTCTCGATCAGGTATCCTACTCAATTAAACTGGAAAAGGAATAAATTTCTAGTTTTACTTTATTTTTTTAAAATCCGGCTAGAATGTGGAAATTGAAATGAGATTCTTGAAATAACCTGGTTGCAATTGATAAAAATGGTCTGTCTTTCCCATTTCCCATAAAAGAAAATGTGATTACTAGCACAGCACATTCATCATACTTTCCCTGGCTTAAGAATTGCAGAGGTCCTGTTTAGTATTAAATCCCATTTCGAAATTAACTCTAATTACATGTTATGCTGAAATATGACAATATATTAATGTGTTGAGCGAAGGCAACCTAATTGTTAAGGTTCAACTCTACCTTTTAGTTTGAGCCTTAAAAAGAGTGGTTGGGGAGGGGAAGTTGCCCCCTTTAGTAGGTTCAAAATGATCGTCGATGTACTTACTAAGCAAGCTTGGATCATTCAAGTTCAGTTGGGCTGAATATGCTTGCTGCTCCCTCCTCGACAAGTTGAAATTTGAACACATTAGCTGTCAAAGTATTTATGAATTTGGCTAGTTTATGAAAATAAACAAGTACAAGAAGAAGCTGGGATGAGCCCAATATCGAACACTTTTGAAAGTACATCTAGATCTCCATTTTAGGCAGGGTCCATATGTAATCTATTAAAGAAATCTGGTATTTCTTTACTGAAATTTCAAATGGTTAAATTGAATTTACTGTGACTTAATTAAAATAGGTTATCACATATTTTCCTTTTCCTTATGTGAAGGGAAAGAATGTGCTAATTATTAATCTCATATAATACTGACCATGTTTAAATTGATTATTTATAAATTGTACTTTCTTATCTGAAACAGACTGCCGATAAATGATGATGAAAGAACATTTTTTTGGCTGCCTGTATTGGTCTCGAGTCCACCGCGTTTTTCATTTCCTTTCCCTTGTCACACCAAAAAAATTTTGTCCTTATGATAATTGGATG